GAAATTCAATCCAAAACTCAGTTTGGCCAACCCTAGATGTTGACGTGGAAGAACATAGCGGTCCATCTGTAGATGCCGAGATAAAGTTTACAATGGAAAGCAGTAAAACTAAACCTGGAATCGCAATCTTTGTAGTAGTCATTGCTTAAGTTCAAACTATGTATGTAGGAATTGTTGTTGAGAAATTAATGAAGTTGATAGAGCAATGAATTTTCTTTATATACGGTTTATAATTTGAAAGAGTTACGAAATTGAAGTCATAACATTCTTTTATAAATTTGACTTTTTCTTCGGTCTCTCCGCTCGGTAATTATATGGAGATGTTGTACGAAATTCTCAAAATGTTTACGGCTACTTAATGTTCAAGAAATGCATACATTTGACAAGAAAAGTCTATAAAATGTATGTTGAAAATTACTGAGCAATAAATTGCAAATTCTGTTCTGCCTGCTGCATCTATGCATTTCGTACAAGTCAAATTACAACAAAAAAATCTCAGCTATAATTATCGGCAGTTTTTTGTGTTATTTAAGGCAATATTAATAGGGTGAGTTTATTTTTTACCTTATTAAGCTGAGTTTTTTTTAATAGGTTTACCGTTCTATATTAATTGATTACTTGATTTGATTCATGGTTCATTGAATTTGGCATCACTAATGAATCACGTATAACCTCCTCTTTCTTATCCCATAAGAAAGAAAGAGTATATGACATTTCTTACTCGGGATTTTTTTCACAAATATAGTTTTCTTATTTCTAATTTTTTTCCCTTTTTTGGGTTTCATTTCATTTAGAGATTTAGTTTTTCATGGTTTGTAGCTTTTTTTTTTTTTGAAAATTTTTTAAAAATGCCACTTTTCAAGTGCCACTTTACAAAAATGTCACACTTTTGACATCTTTACAAAAATGCCACATTTTCAAAATTATTTTTTCTTTATATTATTTATGTGTGGGTTAACTATGTTCTATTAGGGTTTAGTTATGAGAGTTTAGGGGGGTTTATGGATCAAAACAATTTTTAGTGTTTAGAATTTTAAGATATATGGTTTAAAAATCTATAATTAGTGGTATTTTGTAAAAATATCAAAAGTGTGGCATTTTTGCAAATATGCACATAAAAAGTGTCATTTTTGCAATTTCTCCTGTTTTTTTTTTGTTTAGTTTCATACTCTAGAAATTTAGATAAACCACAAAACTAGTCTACGGGATTGTAAAAGCTCAACTATTTGCGTGCTATTGTTTCCTCTAAATGGCTGCGTTTCAAAACTGCTAATTCCTCATTTTAATCCTATAGAATCTGAAAATGCAACTCCTCTCTAGATTATTTCAATGCTACAATCCGATTATTTCGATTTTGATTCGACCCAAATAGAGATTTGATGTTCACTAATGTCTAATGACACTACAAGACCAGAGGTCTGAGGAAGATAGAATTGATAATGTTGTTATCGATTGTATTGTTGGATATTGGAACTGGATTTTGTTTACTTCTTTTCTATCTTAATTTGTCAAAAATGACTGATTAAGTAAAAACCACACGAGAAAACAACTCAAATTCATGTTTTTGTCACTTATCCTTAGTCTTTTTTCTTTTCATCAGAAGCCCACAAAGTTACAAGTTTTGCAACAAAGACCTCTTTCCTACTCATTATGACCGTATTATGATCGGTCCCAGGGATAACCTCGACTTCAATCGCCGGAAACCTAGCCTTCATATTCCATAGACAACCAATAGGAACAATAGCATCTCTGTCTCCTTGCATCACATTGATTTTGACACCTGAATGTACCAAAGTTTCAAGGTGATTGTCCGTCAATTTTGCTCCTCCACATATCACATTGTGCATGCTGTGCCACGCGGACTGATGTGTATGCTTAGTCAATTCCATTATCGCCGTTGGTAGTTTCCTAAAGATCGAAGAAAACAGAATTTAAAACCAGTATCCATATTAGTCCAACAATAGTCTTCGTATATTATGTAGATAACAAAATAACATTTCATTGAGTATCATTACGATTGTCATAAATTTATATAATTATGTTGAAGATTATCTACTTGCATTAAGAAATTATTGTTTTTAGGATTGTTGCTTGTACTTTAACAAATTAGTTGCAATGTCCATCCTCTCCAAGTTCACCGATTTAGTCAAATTTAAATGGTATAAATTCAATATATCCTCTCCAAAAATACCGATTTAGTCAAATTTAAATGGTATAAACTTCAACTTGTATGGATAAATTAGAAAGTGAAGCGCTAAGTTTACATAAAAAATTGAAAACATTAAAGACCAAGTTACATAGATACCTTCTCCAAGTTACAACTTTGATGATCCTCTCCCATGTACGGTGGTGCCTACAAACGACCAAGCATATGCCACGGCCAATATGCTCGTACCAAGCCATCATCGCCGTGAAAAATGAAGTGAGCGGCCAAAGTTTCTTCTCGGCGATTACATCAAGAGCAGTACAACTTGCTCCTCCTTTTGAATCAGCAAAGTATGGCTGGAAAAAAATCAACCAAACATAAATTAAAAATTGGCTTCTTTCAGAGGAATCAGATTTTTTATGATCGGAAAATTCACCGGGGCAACTAAAGCGATGGACTTGACGCTGTTGGAGAATTTCGCAGCTAAGGCTACTGCAACTATGCATCCCATGGAGTGTGCTACAACATGGAATGAAGTCAAATTATTTGGTAGAATTACCGATTTCTCGATCATTTCGACATGTTCTTTCAATGAATATTGACTGTCCCTCGGTTTCGGACTGTCCCCAAACCCGAGAAGATCCACCGCGAAGAATCTGTAGTTAGTTTTCGCGGTGGTTTCGGGTAGATATTTGAACATTGTGTTGGTCCAAAACGATGAAGATGACAAGAATCCGTGTATGAAAATAACGTTCTCTACCGGTTTGTTGCTCATCAACAAATCTGATCAAATTAAAAATAAAATAAAAATGAGTCTTTAGTTATAACATTAAGTCATTTTCAACATCGGATAAAATTAGAACGATATATAGAAAATTGGCATGGTCCATGCACAAAGGATAACAGTATTATAAAGTTTAACAGTTTTGAAGAAATTACTAATTACCATGAGAGATTGACGGTTGCTTGACGATCACGTTGAGTTGATCGGTGTTGGTCCAAGAAACACAAGTCTTGCAACCACAATCAGACCACCGGTTTGCAACTTCACGAAGGACTTTCTTCATTTTCCCGGGTAAGAGGAACTTTCTTAGGAAAGTAACGATGCCGATTTTCTTGGTGATCTCAGGGAGTTTTTTCGCGAACCGGAGAAAACCGGCTTGTCGGAAAATATTCCTCCTCCGGTAAAGAGTCTCCGACAAGTGTTTATGGTCTGAAAGAAACTCGTATCCGGCAAAATCAGTTGTCTCTTGAGGGATTTTACAGTGACAAGACTCTAATTTACCTTCCATGACTTCGTCCAAGAATCTGAAAACGATGCAGAGAAGATCGTCAAGAAGGTCAAAAAGGAAGAAAACGGCCCACCTCGGAGCTCCGTTGATTACTGACACACATTTTTCTTGGAAACTCAAAGCAGTCATCACAGCGACCTTTAGAGAGAAAGTGAGGTAAAGAGAAAAAAAAAAACTCTGGTGAAGAAGAAACTCCCTTTTAGGACAAGGTTCTATAGACTTTATTGCACAAAATTGTGTTATATGATTTTCGCATGGAGTTCATTAATTAATTAATTTATATATTGTTCCATCCGTTTTAAAATGATTCGTTTTTCAGAGTTTTCACACCTGTTAAAAAAAAAAA